TATGTATACTCAGGTACACATGTCTATATAGTGTACACATACAATACACATCAAAGTGTTTTTTAAATTGTTTTTCAAAAGAAGATCAAATTATACATAAACTTTTTTTTTGGTAGCACCCTATGCAAACGATTTGAGTCACCTAGAATATTTCTAATTCTTTTCTTAGACTGTACAAATTTTCACATAATGGACATTCTAAAATTTATTCATCCATCCTTCTTCCTGAGCATTGGCTTTGTTTCCAGGTTGTGTGTGTGTGTGTGTGTGTGTTTCCATTATGAATAATGGTATCTCACACATTCTTGTTCATGACTGCCCTAGACCAAATTTATAGCACTCCAAACTGGCTTATCACTATCTGTACTCCCATCTCCACAAATGGCTTTTTGCTACAGAGAAAATCAAATGGCCACCATTACTTCATATCTTCATCTTTGGTTCTCTCACCTTCCCTCAAGGGTTAAGATGGGTTTCCATCACACCTGGCATGGAAGAAGTACTAACTTTCAGTGTGCTTTCACTAGCAGCTTAGTGGTATTTTTTGAATTGTAGATTTGAAATAAATACTATCTTTGATGCAACCTATTTTATTTTAATTTTTATTTTATCACTTTTGCTTGTGGTTTTATATCTAAGACATCTAGAATAGGTAAATGGAAAATTAGTAAGCATATAGAAAACTTGAAAATTATTAACCAACTTGAACTAATTGACAATTACAGAATCCTTCCATCAACATCTATGTAATATACCTTCTTTTCAAGTACACTGAAAACATTTGCCAATTTAAACGTATTCAGGACCATAAAATAAGTATTAATAAATTTAAAGTAACTCAAACATAAAATGGAGGTCCTCTGGTTAAAACGGAATTAAGTTAGAAAGTGACAACAGAAAGATATCCATAAAACCCCCAATATTTAGACACTAAATAATATACTTCCAAATAATCCGTGAGTCAAAGAAATTAAAAGTGAAATTAGGTAATGTTTTGAATTGACTGAAAATGAAAACATATCAAAATTTGTGGCGTACTGATAGAGCAGTACTTCGAAGGAAGTGTACAGCAGCTTATATTAGAAAATAGCAAAAGTTTCAAGGCAATGACCTCATCCCCCCTTTTGAAAAAGCTAGTAACAAAAAAGCTAGAAAAAAAGATGAAACCCAAAATTAGTAAAAGAAAGGATATAATAAAGACCAGCATGGTGTTCAATGAATTCCCAAATCAGAAAAAAATGATAGAAATTAGGGAAACTAAAAGATGTGTCACTGAGAGGATCATTAAAATTGCTAAACTTCCAAACTGATCATTTGACAAATTAATCAGGAAAAAAAATAGGTAAGGCATGAGTTCTCAATGTCAAGAATGAAAAAGTGACATCACTAAAAATGTGCAGATATTAAAATGGCAAAAAGGGAATATGATGAACAATGTCATGTTAAATTCACAACTTAGATGAAATGGACACATTTCTTGAGAGACACGAATTAACAAAGCTCAAACAAACAGAAATGGATAACTGGAAACTCCCTTCACAAAGACAATTCAGGGTCAAGATGGCTTCTCTGGGCAATTCTTCCAAACAATTAAGGAAGGGGTTGGGGAAGCAACATTTCTAAGTAAACTTTTCCATAAAATTTAATAGGAGAGAATATTTCCCAATTCATTCAATAGGGCCAGCATTACCATGATACCAAAATTAGCTTAAAAACATTATAAGAATCCAAAATGACAGACAACTTTGCTTATGAACATACATGCAAAATTCTTAAAATTTTCACAAATCTAATCTGACATTATATGAAAAGGATAACACGTAAAGACCAAGTGGTGTTTATCTAGGAATGCAAATGTCATTTAACATTTAAAAATCAGTCAATCCATTTCCCTTTCCTTAAACAGCCCTGTGCATAGTGACTTTTCTTGCAAAGAGTACAGTGTGAAAACAGGGAACAAAAGAATAACTTTACAGTAGAGAAATCTGACAAACACTTCCTCAGCCACGTGATCAAGGTCAACATAAACAGTTATAAATTATATTGATAGTTTGTATTATGATATGACTGTGTGAAAATGACCCTTTTACCTCCCTGATCTGCCAAAAACCCATAATCTCGATCTAATCACGAGAAAAAATGCAAACAAATTTCAATATGGGGAATACTTATAAAATTCCCTTCAATACTCCTCAAAACTTTAAGTATATCAAAAACACGTCAAATTTGAGAAACTTTGACAGCTAAGAGGACTCTGAAGTGACAAGACTGCTCTAGACTGCGTGTTTGTATCCCCCCAACAATCCCTATGTTGAAACCAAATCTCCAGTGTGTTGGTATTTGAAGATGGGGCTTTGAGGAGGTGACTAGGTTATGAGGGCAGAGCTCTCATGAATGGTAATAGTGTCCCTATAAAAAAAGACTGTGGAGAGCTCACTTATCCCTTCTACCATGTGTGGTTATAGCAAGAAGACTGCCACCTATGAACCAAGAAGTAGGTTCTCCCCAGAAACTGATTCTGCCAGTGCCTTGTTCTTGGACTTCCTAGCCTCTAGAGTTGTGAGAAACAAATTTCTGTTGTTTGTAAGACACCCAATTTATTGATAATTTTTATTATAGCAGACCAATGTTATAGACAATGACCAAATATAATGTGGTGTCCTAGATGTGAGCTTGGAGAATAAAAAAGACATAGGGTAAAAACTAAAGTAATCTGAATAAACTATGGATTTTAGTTAATAATAATATGTCAGTGCTGCTTATCAATTATAACAATCACACAATAGTAACATAAGATTAACAACAGTGGAAACTAGGCATGGAGTATACGTAAACTCTATAATATCTTCTGAAGTTTTTTTGTAAATCTAAAACTGTTCTAGAAATAAAGTCAGTCAATGCTATCAATTCACTATAATGAAGTCTATTCAATTCACTATATGAATAGACTTAAAATGAAAAACCAGATGGTCATTTCATTAGATGCAGAAAAAGCACTTGACACAATCCATCATTCATTCTCAATAAAAACTCTGAGCTAACTGGGAATATAAGGAAATTTCCTCATGCTGATGAAGGGCATCTATAAAAAATTTACAGCTGACATCATATTTAACAATAAATGGCTGAATGCTTTTCACCTAGGTCATAAACAAGGCAAAGATGCTCTTTCTCACTACTTTTTTCACATTGTACTAGAGATACACTAGCCAGTGTCATAAGGCAAGAAAAAAAAAAAGACATCTCAATTGGAAAAGAAGAAATAACAGCAGGAAGAATCAGTAGTCTTGGCTTTTGAGGGTTCAAGGAGATCCTCAGTCTTTCTGGAGTTCAAGCAAACTCACACATACTCAATGGTGACCACTCGGCAAGAGGTTCGTAAGTCTCTAATTTGAAAACTTACCTGAATATACTGCCTTCTTGTCCTCATTTCTGTGACCTGATATTCTCCAGTCTCTCTCAAGCACTTCTGGGAAGAAAGCCCTTTATCACATCTCTGACAAAAAACCCAGCAGAGCCCAAGGCATTTTGACACCCAGTTAACTTCATGTCCAAACAGCTGGTTGACACTGGAGTGTGTCAGAGTTAGTCGTGTACTTAACTGCAGTGCTGTCATAAATTCTCAGGTCTTTCCAGAGATTTGCTGTCAAGAAAAACAATGGTGGTGTTCATGATGGCCTAAATGGTTTAAAAACTCCTGAAAGTACAGCCTAGACTGCAGACAGAGCAATGCTGCCCATGTACTCGTAAGACTTTCCATGAGAGCACTTTTAAAAAAAATAATTCATCCTCTTAATGTATAATGGAACATGAACTCACAGGCTTTTGGCAATTAAAATTAAACCTTATTTATCTTTTAATATAGTACTGTATTCTTGTGTAATTGAGTAAGGATTGATGCCAGTTGTGTGATGGACAGTAAGCTTATCCAACATGACAAAGATAGATTTCTAAGAAGACAGATTCCACTGTTTTTGTGTACAAGGGGGGGTGAATAGACCGTATCAGCAACATTTAATTATTCTGTAGATAATGATTCATTTGAGGAACACAACTTTTCACAGAAACAGAAAAGAAGACAGGCCAATACAATTACTATTTTGTCTAAGTACACTGGTGGGAAACCGTAATTAGTTTTTCATTAAATTTGCATGAAGTGATTTTTAAAATATAACAAGGAGGAGTTAAATGCATGTATTTAAAACCAGAAAGTTTGAATGTGAATTAACTTTATAATATAGGCTGATTTTTTTAAGGCAAAAGTACAAGTGGTGATTTCTCAGATTTAAATTAAAAGCTAATCAGAGTTTTAAAAAGAAAAGTCACTTAAAATGCAAGGTTTCATGAAATATGTTCCAAACACTCAGTTGGATATTCCATGATGGATGTTTTCTAGTCTTCCCTGTGGGCTAACTTTTAAAGTTGTACATGTGACTTTAATTACAAGACCTCAGCTCCTGTGTTTAGAAGTGTATCTGTAGACCAGTACATAATTATCTGTATTTTGTTTGCTACACCAAGGTTATTAATGTGCTTCCACCAGTATTAATGGAGAATAAAAATCAGGTATTGTTGTGAAATGTATGAGCTGAGCCCAAAACATGTGCCCTTAAATAGAAAGATTGCCACTATTTAATTTTACAAAGCAGAAAACCTTCTCCAAAAACGTGGATTGAATAATTGAAATGGAAAGATGAATTGCTCCACTCAAACATCTCAATTTTAGCTTGAATTAGTTCTTGCTAGGTAAAAATTATTTTATTTCTTATCATTAATAATTTTCTAAGCTTTAACACCACAGACCAAAGGCCATTCGCTTTAGCCTCGCAGACATTTGTATGCTATCATTCATACTCATGTGGCAAAACCATGACTCTGGTTAATACCGCCTGCTGCCTGTATCGCACCTGCACCTGCACAGGTGAACACAGGTGGAGACACACATGGCTTATGCTCTCCCACCTTTGCAGCTGACTATTTTAAATCTTTCCTCTTCTCAGATCTCAATCCTTGCTTCCAATAGAGGGATTTAGAGGAGAATTTTGTAAGCTCCTCCCACCTTGTATCCTGAACCACCTTCATCAGCACCCATGCTGGAGCTTCTCCAAATGCTCTTCTGAATGAACGGTGATCCCAGCTAAGACCGGCATCCTTATTTATGCAAAGGATCCCTTCCACTCTTGCATATGTGAGTACTGATCTCTACTTCAGCACTTCCTCCCTCTTTGCCCTACATTATCATCTTTCCCTCTTAAGAAAAATCATGCAAACTTGGAAATAAGGTAAGAAGTTTATTTTGTGTTTTCTGAACATTATACTAGAGTATTTTCTAATAATCTTGCTTAAGAATCATCTAATCATTGGGAATGTATTTTTCCTTAAAAAAGTTTTATTTAAACAGTTATCAAACATATTGCAAATTAAAAGAATTTTATAGTGAACAACTACACACTTATAACCAAAATTCTACAGTTAATATTTTACTCTGCTTGTTTTACTACATATCAATTTGTCAGTTTACCCCACTATCAGTCCATTTATTGATCTTTAGTGCATTTTAAAATAAATTATAAAAGTGGTATAATTTTGTTTGACATACTATTTACTATCGATAATGACCCCAAAGCTGTAAAGTTTGATGTTAATTTGCAGATTTTTAAATTGCAAATTATTTTCATCTGGAAAGATAAAGATGATTTCCATCCTATAGGGGAAAGATGACACCAAAGATTATAGTTTAATTACTGCAAGCTCTCAATCTGTTTAGTGTATAACTTTGCAGTCTAATTCCACATTCTTTTTTCCAACCTCTCTTTTTACTGAATCTTCTTTACCATTTTTCTGGTTCTCTCATTATTAAGTTGACTAAAGAGCTATCACTATATATTTGTATAAAACTAACATTTTAAAACTTTTTGAGGTTCATATTTTAATACCCATAACCAAATCTTCTTCATTATCAGATAAACACACTATTATTTCTCCCTAAAATAACCTTCTCTTGACCCCACTTGCCTTTTTAACTGTTACTTCATTTCTTTTTATTTTATAGCGAAACCCATCAAAAGAATTAATGCTTTCCATACTCCCTTGAACTCACACCAACCAGGTTTTCTCCCTGAACTTTCCATCAGACTATCTTATCAAGATCACCAGGCCTCTCCACAATATTTAATTCCGTTATCCCATTTCACATTGTACTTTATTAGCAGCAGTATTTTACACTTTTATCTTTCCATTCTCTTTGATGTGTTTCCGTCCTTGACTTGTGGTAAGTATACCATTTTCTCCTGATTTTCCTCCTCTTTCACTGGAAGCTCTTCTTAATCTCCTTTGCTCGTTGTTTCTCTTCTCCCACGTCTCTTAATGATAATTGCTCCTGAGTAACCCTCGGATACATGGATCTTAATGGATTTTGCATGTGCTATACTTTAAAGCTGCATGTAATCAAATGCGATGATTCTCTTTCAAACATATCAATGGGCTACTATTTCAGAAATGTGCGATTGGTCCATCGCATTCTGCATTTATAAGTATTGATCTCTACATAAATCTTAGTCAAGTAGCAGTGAATTCAAATTCTATAAATCCATAAGATAAGTTTATTATACTGCAACTTCTACTGTAACTCGGTACTCGTCCACCATATTTAGAAACAAATTTGAACTTTTTTCTAACCATACCCTCATTGTATTTGCAAATAATAGATTATGATTTGTTGGGATGCTATACAAATGACATAATGTTTCCTTCAAAACAGTTTTTCTCATTGCATTTTTAAAAACGTAGGAATATTCAACATAAAACTTTCCCTTAATACAGTTTCTTTAAAAGGATACAAGAACTTTAGTAACACATCTCAACATTCGATAGGAGGGCTTTAATATTACTCTTGGAAATTCCCTGGTAAAATGAAAAGGCAATTTAATTGTGATTTTTAATTCTGTGACTTTCATGCTAGATAGAAACTCTGCATCACTAACACAAACAGTAGTTACTATTTAGCATTTGAATCTCTACCTAAAGTCTCTAATGCTTTTAACTGAGCTCTAGTTAATATGTGTTGTTAATTATAGATGAAGGATTTCAAGTTAATAGACTAGTCCTACCCTGGTCGCCTTCACCAGAATCCTCAATTCCCTCAGAAATGTCTGCATGGTTTGTGAGCAAACGGCTTCTTGCATGTCATAATTCTCTTAAAAACTTCAGAATAAATAATGAAAGTTTTTATTTCATCACGCCCACGATAATACCTGGAGGCTTCATGTACACTTGTCCATGTAACCCTAAATTAACCAGGGATCAAATAATTCTCATATTTGAGAATATATTTACGAAGTAACCAGGCTTAGATGTTTTCTAGTTTTGTTGTCCTAATCCCGTACGTTTATAAAATTCTTCTTGTGTAATTGACCTAAATAAGCTTAAAGAAACATGAGCTTAAACGAAAACCTCATTGCAAATAACCTAATGTTTTTTAAACCTTGGACATGTTCCATGTCTTCTAAATCACTAGCCTTTTAGTTCTGAATAACTATAGACTGTTTCCATAAAATGAAATACTCAAGGAAAAAATATTTAGAAAAAAATTTAAAATATTTAAATGACATTCTGTGCTGGCTATCTACTAAGAAAAGTGATAAATATATTTTGAGCAAAGACATTACTGGAAAACATATAGTCTCTTGATATGCCTCTTAATTCACTCATATACTTAGATTTCTGATTTCTGATGTATTCCAGAACAATCATTTCACATGTGTATCAATAGATGCACTGTGTGTCTGGTTTTAAGACTGAGTTCATCAAATGTGTTACACTCTTTGATTTGGAAACTGGAAAATGGGCTCATTTCCCATTTAATTATTTTTAGGCCAAGGAAAAACTTTCAGTTTATTGGTTAAGTACAGCCAACCACATAATTCAATCTTGAGGCTGAGGGCTTCTAGATGATGACTGTTCTCATCTTTACCCAAACAAGAAACGCGTGGCAAACACCTCTTTTAGATGCTTCCGTTAACAAGTGCTCAATAAATGCGAAAGAAGGAAGGAATAAGGGAAGGAAGGAAATCACTCTCAGTTGTTTCTGAAGACGTGTAGGATAATGAAAAGTTTCAGAGTAAGCTCTGAGAATTTCAACATCAGCTATTTTCTTTAAAAGTATCTCTTTGAAATTTTAAGGAAAGTTAGAAATTTCTAATTGTTACAGATAACTTCTCTAGTGTCCATAAGTTCATTTTTCCGTGAAAATATGACTTCTTATTTAAAAAATAATTTTCAAATGACATGTCACTGTAGGCAATGCATTTTTGAAGGACCCCTGTTCTTAAAAAGTAAAATATCTTATCCTTCAGGGACTTGCTTTCCAACACACCTGAGACATGAAATAATTACTCCAATATGCTACCTATTTGTCCTAATGCTCAATAATCATTGATTTTACTCATTTGTATGAACTCATTCGAGCAAATTTCATCATTTTTATGGAAATGCCACTGATAATTTAAAGGCATATCCCCTGGCAGGTCTAAGAGTTCCTTTTGGTCAGTGTTCTAATATTCTTTCTCCTACATCTGCTTCCTTGTGGAATATTGAAATAAATGAACCAACACAGTGCATGATGGAAAGTGAACATTATGAAATTTAAGGTGTAATTTCAACTTTTTCAGAAGCTGTTCATCAGGGCACTAGTTCTCTCATTGATATGAATACCACTACCATTTAGCAGACTACTTCTGAAACTCACTATTGTGGATTTGGTTTTAAAGTGAGTGGAGTGCTATTCCTGGCACCAACTATAAGAAATGTTTCATTACAGTGTCCTCTGAAAATCTTTTAAGCGCATTTTATATTTTACACACGTGTGTTGTCTTTCATTTTCAGCAATCAGAATTTATGTAATCAAAAGCAAATGTCTTTTGAAAGATCTCAGTCCGTAATTCATGTTTTTTTAAATCAGAAATGACTATAAAATAATAATAATTATTTTAAAAATTCACTGATTTAGCATGAACATTCAAACTATGGAGGGCCATAAGATGAGGGGAAAAAAATCTCAATAATTTATCTTTTTTTTTTTGAGACTTGACTTTAAGTAGATTTTAATTAGCATTGGCTTGGTTTGAAAACTCTATACTGAATAATATTTTGAGAAGTAAGTTTTCCTCTGAATGCCAGTCATTGAATCATTTAACTCCATGGGCAGAGGATGGAGGCTCTGGGTGATAGAAAATTTTGTAGTACAATGAGAACACCGTAATTAGCTCATGGGTGAGTGTTCAGAGTCAGTAGTGAACGGAATAAAAAATGGAAAAAACCCTACAGGCTCTGATACATGACCAAAAATCTGGATTCTCTATTCTCAGAAAGCTGTTTTAGCCTCTCCAGGATCATTTGCCCAACTGCAAAATAGATGAGAGTCCAACAACCAGTTATTTTTTAAGTTGTCATGTATGTTTGTGAGCAACAAAATGTTGTGCTACTTCTTGTGATGTAGTCATTGCATATGTGAATATCAATTGATTTGTTTTTTCAGTGCTAGGATTTTTTTCCCCCCATAGGTTTTTTTTAAACTAATTATGGAACATGCAGCCTTCATTAGCAGAAGTTATTTCTTACATATTCATATTCCCTCCTCAAATGTGATCCACTACCTGGTCCCAATCTAAGAACTGTTTATTGCTGATCTACAGTGATACGATGCAGGAACCATCTGTTTGGACCTTTTATAACATGTTGACATTGTTGTGATATTCATGTGTGATCATTTTTTCTATTAATTTACTTAGTTATGAAAACATCAGTCTGCAACTGACAGGACATTTTTCAAATAAGCTGGTGGTTTTTCATAGAGGTGTTAGAAGCATTGCTCTGTAGTGTTTGAACGTTGCTGTGCAGTACAGAGTCTGATCCTTATGTACAGAATATTCAGGCCACTGCACCTTTTTGCTCGTCTTCTCCTGTGTCTGCCATACTAATACCAATAGCACTGGGACAAGAAAAAAGCAGAATAAAGTGAAAGTACAGGGAAGAACCTTGTTCTCTCAATTTTAGTTAATAATTACATTATTACCAATTACATTCCATACTTAAAAAAATCATAACTTTTAATTCGCCTAATTATAGTTCTCTCAGACTTCCCACAGGAAAAGAGATTCAATTTGTTAGATTACATTTTTTCCCCCACAG